GTTAGGGTGAAGATCTGTTCCTGACTCCTTGCCAAGTCATTGCTACAGAGTGGCGTTTGGAAGATATCGGCCTGGCAACTCTCCAAGCCTGATAAAGGTCTGTAATTGGGAAATCTCATGAAAGATTGTTTGTCGGGACCTTTGCTGGAGAGGAATTCCCTTTGACCTAAATAAAAGGGGTTTTATCGGGACGAGGAGTCCTGGCTTCATGATCTCGGAAAGGTCTAGGTCAGGACACTACATAGAAGAACAACCCCAGCTCAGTATGGCCGTATTCTTGCACTGGCAAGGTGAGTGCGCAAAGGATTCACACTTACATGCTTATAGTCAAAAATTGTCTCAGAAGAGCAAGCTCCCTCGTGGATGCGAATGATGGCTATTTTCTTCTCGTTGTCTATGGTGATTGTTTGCTGGATGTAATCACCCTTCAAGCTAGGGATGTTGTAAACCTGAACAAGAGAGAGTTTGCTTTTCATCTGAAGTGAAATGAAGAGTCTGAGAGACTTCTGGTTCTGGATTTAGATAAAGTGGGATTGACCGACGGCCATTGATCAAAATATCAAACCGTAAACGAAACGACCAAGCGTATATTAAATAAAACCAAGGTATTGATGGGTAAAGTACACAGCTATTTAGTTTCTGTGATGGGCAATAAATTTTCTTTACTCTCCAAGTTTCAGGACTTATTTGGAAACCTTTACAGATTTTCTGCTGCCAAGCAGAATGCACTCTAGAGCGGAAAGAGTGATTAATCACTCATTCATGTATTGGATTTATTTATTCTAGTATTCCTATGCTGCTTTGCATGAAAACAGCCGTGAGAGACATCGAATCCAGAAGGAATGGTAATATTCATTAAAAATATTGTACAATGCATCACTCAAAAAAGTAAATTTATTATTAGTTCACGTTTACCTCCAGTCTTTGGGACTGGATGTCTTCAAGGACTGCAGGCATATGTGAGGAGAAATGTTCAGGCCATTTTTTTTTCTTTTTTTTAAAGACCCCTTCACAAATCAGCACATTAAATCTGCAAGCTAAATGCATGTATTTTGAGCCTGGCATCCTTCTCAAAATTCTACTAGTGATTCGCCATCAATTTTCAGATCTTGGTCTAGGTGTACTGCTCTAAAGGAACAGAGCTAAGTTGCATACCCATCCCTGTTTTAAAACATCGGAGTTGGGGACATGTGTTGAATATCTGCGTGATACTACAGGAGAGAGAGAGAAAGTAACCTTGTTCCACCTTTGAATTTTTTGTTCGTAATAAAGGAGAGATGATTACCTGAATGGAAGCGGAGGCTGCATTCCAGAAGAATCCCAGCAAAATTAATATTGGTCCCTGGAGAAGAAATAAATAAAAGGGACATCAAAGGTCAGAAGGAGAACAGCCCTATCTGAATGGATGGTAGTCTATGCAGGACTGCCTGAAGAATTTAACTTCAAGCTAGCCTGATTTGCAATCTTTCGCAGAACCCAGTTACTTTGGGAGACCATAATTTCCCAGCGTTTGCTACCAGCGCATATGGGGCACACACTTCTCCTTCCTTTGGTCCATAGTGCTGATGTCTACGAGCTCTGTGGCTTTCCACACATGAACTGGCTGGAGATTGCAAAGACTGAATGTGGAACCTTCTGCCAATAAGCCGATGAGAGCCATCCTGAGCTCTGAATCAAAATATGCCCCATTGCACAGTCGGTTCCCTCAAAACAGCATATTATGGCCAAATACTTTCCTGCGCAAGTGTTGAGGCAAAGCATAAGAGGTATCAGATTAGAAGACCTTCAAGATCCCTTCCAACCTTATTCTACAGTCGATGTTCTAGCTTGTTGACAAGGCCAGTTTGTAGCCATTAGGGTGTTTCAGAAGTCAAGAATATTTGGGGCCATGGCTCATGTTGACACTTCCAAAGGCCATTTGAACATTACCTAAATGTTGCCCATCAAAATGCCTTCTCTTGCTGAGTACAGCTGGTCATGTGCTAATGTGCTAATGCCTTGCAGGAGACATTTTGCCCAAACATGCTTTCACTGGTCTCCCCAAGCTAAGCAACCAAGACACGGCGAACATCCCTTCCATTTCCTTAAGAGGAGTCCTCCTTGCCTGGACAATCCACGTTGGTCCCTAAATATTTTCCAGCTTTTCTTAAGAAGAATGCATCAGATATACTCACCAGTCTGTTCATTTTTCTTCCAGGTAAGGGAAAAGATGTAAGTGCAATAATAGTCCAGGAACATTGAACATTTATATCCGGATTGTAGGTGTGTAGGGAGCATAATTGGACAGAAATCTGCCCTGGGTATTTGTCTCTCGTATCTGGGGGACACACACCCTGGTAAATAGCTTTATTTGAATTTTGGGCTGAGCAGATACCCAAGCCCTGATATCTCTGAGCACGTTAGTCATGGGTGCATAAGTTCACATCAGTTTGTCATTTTGCAAACATCAGTTAACTTCTCCCCTATTACATGGGTGTATTTTTAATATCAGAAAAGTGGACGGCCTGTCTTTCTGGTTTTAAAATGGGGTCAACGGTTAGTAAGAAAAGAGAGGAAAGTAAGGACTTTTGGGGTGTCCCTAAAGAGGGGCAAGGATGGGTCAATGCTCTAGAGCAGGGGTCTCCAACCTTGGCCACTTTAAGCCCGGAGGACTTCAACTCCCAGGATTCCCCAGCCAGCCGTGTCTGTTTCTTTTTCTCTTACCAGCTAAAGTGGAGAGATTGCAGAGGAAGGCATTACAAGAGAGCAAGATTTGCTGGCTGGGGAATTCTGGGAGTTGAAGTCCCCCAAGCTTAAAGTTGCCAAGGTTGGAGACCTCTGCTCTAGACAAGCTGCTAGAAATCAGGCGAGGCCCCCAAAGAGCCCTCAGGTTCTGCTACTCATTGCTTACAGGCCTACCATCTCATTCCCATGGCCTCTCTCAACCTCATTGACCCTTCTACTCTGCATATGAAATCTACAAGTATCTGTGGCTCCTCTCACACAACATACTTAACTAGGAACAGTATCCCCCCACCAATTATTTACATAAAGCGTGCCCTGGGTATTTGCCTGGGTTGGGCTAAAACGTCTCAAAATCTAACCGGAGTTAATACTAACCCAAGTTAGTATTGCACCATTAGGCTTTTATATGAACACGTGGTTAAAAATTATGGGAAGGTATGTAATGAGCTTGGGATAGTTCTGCTCATATGATTGATTATGCCCTTCAAGCCATTGTTGGCCATGTAGATAGAGTTTCTCCAGGATCCCCCAAGCTGGTCCTTCAGCTCCTCCAATGGAGCCCCAGCCTCATAGTAGCTCAGTCCATCCCTCTTCCTGTTGTCCTTCCTCTTCTTTTATCTTCCTTCCACTTTTTCCAGCATTCGAGACTTCTCTACAGAGCTGGATCTTCACATAATGTGTCCAACGTAGGATAATGTAAGCCTGGGCATCTGTGTCTTGAGTGAGAACTCTGGATTGATTTGTTCAATGATTCATCGGTTTGTTTTCTTGGATGTCCATGGTCTTCTCGGGAACCTTTGCCAACACCATCCTGGCATCTGACTATCTTTTCCAAGACCTTCATGGTTTTCCAAGCCCTTGTCTGTAAGGTATTTCTTGTCTGCTTGTTGCTTTACCGTTGATAGTTGATCCTAGAAGGCAGAAGCTCTCCAACCCTTCAATGTCAGTTCTAAGGCTTCATTTATCTGAAACTCAGATGTGAAAAAACGGGATTGCTACAGGTCTCTCTCCGACTTTAAAACAAAAAAGGTTAAATAGTTAAAAGCGGGATCTGTAACATTTAATAGGCTGCAGACTTCTTATGTGCCCTCATCCACTTTTGCACTCATGTCCCTGACTCAAGGAAATACAATCTGGAGTTTCCTTCTAGAATTCTGGGATTTCCTTCCAAACCACCAGCAAAGACAGCGAGTCAAGCATCTACGAATTGGTTATAGGTTACCAATTCTAGTTTTAAAGGGCCATCCAGAATGCCTCTCTGACTTACCTCTTCATACAAAACACATCTTCTTTAGAATTGTTTTTTCCCCTTTAAAAGAAAAAGACTTCAGCTACATTTCGAATGGATGCATAAGTAAGGTAGAATGGCTGATTTTAGAATCATAGAATCTGTAAGATCTCTTGGAGATCATCTAATCTGACCCCTGTTCTGGATAGGAATCCCCTAGCCGTCCCACTCAAAATGGCTATCCAAATTTTCCTTGAAAACCTGCATTGATGGAGCCTCCATCAGGTTATGGCAAATATCCCATCGTATAATCTCACCGTGTTTCTTAAGATGTGTGGATTGCCAGAATTCCCTAACCAGCAAGGAACCAAATTCCTTCTTATTTTAAGTTTGATCTCTTCTTTGGTCTCAAATAATTTATTGAGTTTCAAACACACACACACACACTGATAAAATATAAAATAACATAAATGGGGGGAATGAAAAAAAGGGGGAAATTTAAAAGGTAACAAAAATGCATAAAACAAATATATAAAAAGAGAGACCTGATTTTTCTTCAGTACAGTTACAGATATCAAAAATAACCCTTTATTCTAGACTGAAGTCAATATTTAATAACCCATATAAAAATAATAGTAGAAAAGTATCCCCTTATTTTAAATTTGACCAGTAGGTAAAAAATAAATAAAATACAGCTTCTTTTTTGCTTCTATTTCTTTCTTCTACTTATTGGTGCTGGTCCTATTTTCAAACACCATTGGGGAATAAATCCTTTTTTATGTCCACTCCTATTTTTTTTTTTAAAAAATGTGTTTATTTTCTGGGATTAGATGTAGGTTTCATTAACTGAGCTTTTTTAAATGACAGGCCCTGCCCATGTGTATCCAAGATAGGCATATCTCCCTCTGCTTATCTGCAAGGAGCCACCCTCTTCCCTGTGTCAGCCAAGTGGCACCCAAATTGCAACGAGATAATGAGCCATATCTCCGTCCTGGGAAATCCGGTATATAAAGTGGAAAGGTTCAGCTTTGCTAGTCTTGTCTTTCTTCTGGTGCCAAAATGAAGTTGGTTGTAAGTATAGACATTTTTCATTTTCTGCTGCCTTGCCGTTTGCTAGGGTAATGGGAGTCTTCCAATAGTTGACGGGCTGTCACAGAGAGGAAGGGGTCAACTTATTCTCCAGAGCTCCTGAGGATAGGAGAACAGGGAACAGGTGGAAGCTTATCAAAGAGAGATCCAAGGTAGAAGGAAGGAGAAATCTCCTACGAGAACAACGAGTCAAGGGAAGAGCTTGCGGGTGCTCCGTCAGTGGAGATTTTCAGGAAGAGACTGGACAAGCAGTGGGTTGGTCTAGAAGACCTCCGATAACCTGTTATTCTGTATGATGTTGCTTGATCTTGAATTCTTCTAGGGGAATAGCAAAGTCCATCTCCCATAATCTGTAGTCAAAACTGCATCCAACTTGCAGATAGAAGAACAAGGGGAGAAATCAGAGGGCTCTTAATTCATGAAGAGAGATGGTTAACCTTTTTACAGAAGGAGGGATGGTTCCAAGTGGGAATCAGGACGAGCTGAAAATCATGGATTCCAGACCATAATCAGCTCACAGAGCTTGTCTCATTATTGTCCCTCGCACACCTTTGCGCCTGATGTTCTTAGGCTAAAACTCAGGTGGCCCAGAAGGTTTCTCCTGAAAATGACACACGAGTTTTCTTGGAAGAGCCAAGAAGGGACCCTTAAGATTGTGAGCTGCTGGATTTGATTGCAGGGAAAACATTAGCCATTGTTCTTTTGGTGTTTGAAAATGCTATCAGAATCACCAAGGTTGCTTAGATAATAAAGCAGGCAGATCTATGCATGTTCCTGAACTCCAAGCTTCGTACTTGTAGAGGGATTTTGCACAGCAAGCTTATGCGACTGTTAAATCAGGGTGCAAGTTGAACTAGGCAACGTGATATTTTTTTTTTAAATTTGAACTCTGCTGCTTCCATTTTTAAATAATATATATCTATCTATTTACCTATCTATCTCTATCCTCTATCAACTAATTATCATTTTCTCCCCCTCTCTAATTGCCAATCTGTTTTTGGACTCCATTCCAGATTCTGAGTGTGGTGTTTCTAGGAGTTTTCCTAGCCCCAGTTTTGACCAATGTAAGTACCGCTGTATAGCATTATTGCCAACAAATATGTTTTCTTTCAAAGACATTCGATTTTTTAAATGAGGTTAAATGATCAAATGATCTGGCGTGTCCAGATAGATAGATACCCTGTTTCTCCAACAATACGGCCTCCCCCAAGAGGAAGTCCCAGCATGTTTTATAGGCATGAAATGAAATTAAGCCCCTCCTCCCAAATTAAGGCCTATATTAAAACATGCGAAATGGTGGGGGGGAATGGTGGGGGGGCTTGCCATTAGGAAGTACTTTTGTTGCACACCCGGATATGGTGCTGCCTGCGTTGACCCCGATACAAAGTGCCCCACCAACGCTGAAGTCAACATCCGAGCTGTCGCCACCCACCCGAAGATGCAAGGGGGGGGGGGATTAAGTCACCCCCGAAAAGACGACCTAGCCATTTTTTCGGGGCTCAAAAAAAAATAAGACCCAGCCTTATTATATGAGAAACACGGCAGGTAGGTAGGTAGGTAGGTAGATAGATAGATAGATAGATAGATAGATAGATAGATAGATAGATAGATAGATAGATAGATAGAATAGAATAGAATAGAATAGAATAGAATAGAATAGAATAGAATAGAATAGAATAGAATTCTGTATTGGCCAAGAGTGATTGGACACACATGGAATTTGTCTTGGTGCAAATGCTCTCAGTATACATAAAAGAAAAGATACATTCATCAAGAGTCAAGAATCGTCAGGTACAACACTTAATCATAGTCATAGGATACCAATAATTTAATTGTTGGAATTAGACCTTCAAAGCTCTGGTTGAAGTGGGAGGTGTTTGTGTTTTCCCCACTGTTGCCACGCTTGGCAAAACCCCTTTGAATGTTTCTAAACTGAAAAGCGGGACTAAAAGAAGTAAAAATAATGCTTTCCAAAATGTGCTTTTTCCACAAATCTGTGAATTAAGTCACCCAGTTGGGAACAAGAGAAAGGATAAACCAGAGTTTTGAGGAACGAAGCAATATTCTTCCAAAGTCTGATTTTTTTTAAAGCAGGCTTGTAGCCATATCTCTGGTATCCGTTGCAGCAGCTGCCCTCTAATATTGTATTTTTCATGAATCTAAGAATAGATTTTTCAGCTCTTGTCCTTTATCTTTCCTCCCCAAAAACATCATTGAAAACAACCAGGGAAACGTTGGACGGACTTCACAGCAAACTGTGAACATTGATCACAAAAGGAAAGTGGTGAACATAGGCCACAACGATGGCAGGAATTCTTGGAGCTTCGTCATGGATTACGGCACTGTAAGAAACACGATTATCTTTTGACCTCAAGTAGCATCAAAAGAGAATTTGTCCTGGAGGGCGTGAAGTTCTTACCTGTTGTGAAGTCACAATGTTGTTGAGAGCTTTTCCCCACTGCACAATCTCCTCCAGCATCTGCAACACTGGAAGTTTTTTAAGAGATGCTGGATAACCACTTGTCTGAAGTAGTGTAGGGTTCCCTGCTTGGGCAGGGGGTTGGACTAGATGACCTACAAGGTCCCTTCTAGCTCTGTTATTCTGTTCTATTCTGTTCTGTTCTGTTCTGTTCTGTTCTGTTCTATTCTGTTCTGTTCTGTTCTGTTCTGTTCTGTTGTTCTGTTCTGTTCTGTTCTATTCTATTCTATTCTATTCTATTCTATTCTATTCTATTCATTTCCTAACCAAAGGGTGTTCAAAAGAACAGTCTGTGGCATCACTAGGATATTATGTGACTCGCTTCCTTCATAAAGCCTGTAAAAGGAAAATTCATTTCTGGATTTTAACTTGTTCAACTTAAGCATGCTGCATATTTTCCCGTCAAAACCTGCAGAGGTTAACAGTATAACAAAGAATCTATAGATTGTGTGGTAAACAATGAAGTGATGTTTTAGGCCTCATTTAAATCATATAAAACGTAGCAGCTTGCTCTCTTGTCATTTAGAGGCAGCTTCTTGAGGAAGGGAATATTTTAACCCATCTGTTATTTCAAACGAAGGGCTATAATGGTTGAAGTTCAACAGCACAACCACAGCATACAATAAATACGAGCATTTGAAAGTCCCGTAGCTTAACTGTTTCCTCGTGTCCTCTTAGAGACAATACAAGGTGTGAACCTAAGTGAGATCTTATAATCCAATGGGAAGGCCCGGGAAATGTCTCCAGCTTCTCTCAGCGTAGTTGTCATTTTGGGGGGCTTCTGTTTTGTTTTGATAGGGTTTCATGGCAACCCGGATATTGTCCAAGAAAGTCTGCTTCATCACCAGAATGAATAAACAGATCGTGCCAGAGATCACTACTCTTCCCAAAACCATCCGGCAAAAACAGGTAAAGAGAGGGAGGTCTGGGAGGGAGGGGGTGTCCACCTGGGCCCGGCAGAAGGGTACCACGAAGCACCGAGGACACCATACACAGGGCCCCCCCGGATGCCTGCCAACAACACCCCGTCCATCCCAATGACTTCAGTCTTCATAGCAGGACCTGGGAGGGGGATCTTGGAGTCTCAGTGGACAAGCAGCTAAATAGGAGCTGGCCGTGTGCAGCAGCAACAGCCAAAAAAGCCAATGCAATCCTAAGTTGCATCAACAGAGGGATACAATTGAGATCAAGGGAGGTGCTAATACCACTCTGTAAAACCTTAGTAAGACCACACCTAGAGTCCTGCATCCAGTTTTGATCACCACAGTATAAAAAAAAGAGGTTGAGACTCTGGGAAAAAGTGCAGAGAAGAGCAACCAGGATGATGAGGGGACTGGAGACTAAAACATATGATGAACGATTGCAGGAACTGGGCCTGGTTAGTCTAGGGAAGAAAAGGACCAGGGGAGGCAGGAGAGCATCTTCCAATATTTGAGGGACTGCCACACAGAGGAGGGAGGGGGTCAAGCTATTCTCCAAAGCACCTGAAGGCCAGACAAAGTATATTGGATGGAAACTGAACAAGGAGAAATTCAACCTGGAAATAAGGAGGAATTTTCTGACAGTGAGAACAATCAACCCATGGAACAGAAGTTGCCTTCGGAAGTTGTGGCAGTTTCGGAAGTTTCATCACTTGAAACTTTCAAGTAGAGATTGGACTGCCGTTTGTCAGAAATGGTGTAGGGTCTCCTGCTTGGGCATGGGGCTGGACTAGATGACCCCCAAGGTCCCTTCCAACTCTGTTATTCAGTATATTGATAAGAGAGACTTCCCCGCCCACCCCTTGGCCCAGATGGCCAATGAGGCGAAGTCTAAAGAGTGATGTGAAGTCCCACTTCCCACCGTATCACATGCCGTTTGCTGCATCCATCTTGAGACCCAGCCCTCCGGTTCTCCCCTCTTTTAGAAGGATCCCAGAAGTGGGCCTGCCCCCAAGGAAGTCTCCTTCACCGTTTCCCGTAAGAGAATCCTAGACCTGTCCGTCTACGGGAAGCAGGTGCAAGCCTTCTGCCGAGGGATCCCCAGCTATCTTGCTTCCGAAGTTAAAAGTAAGTATTGGCTTTGGGCTTCTTTGAATAAACCAAGGAGTGCCTGCAGAATTTTATACACCCAAGAATAACGGGGGGGGGGGGGGGGGGG